CCTGGCTCTTCAGGGGGTGAGCTTGCCTCACAGTAACCCCTCTCTGTACCCTCCTCCCTAGGACTCGTACTCAATGCCCCTGACATCCATCCAATGTTGGCACGTGCACTGTGAGGAGTGCTGGCTGCGGACCCTGGTGAGGTGGCACGGGGGTCAGGGAGTGGGTGGCTATCCATGCTTATGTTTGAGCCGGCTTGAGGGACACAGGGCGCAAGGGAAAGCAGAGTGTAGAACAGAGCCAGGATATTTACCCCCTAGGCTCACCACATTCACTTCTGTCCTACAATAGATTGGTTAAATCCTTCCCCTTCATGGGTTGACTGCTCTCTCCTTCCCCCAGCCCCCAGAAGTCCCATTGCACCAACCCTACTAGTGAGACCCCAGGTCAGGAGGAGGCTGGCTGTGGGTAAGCAGAACCAGGGCCTCGCCCCTCCCCCTCCCATTACTAAGCTCCTTCTGCTCCTGCCCCTGTTCTTCGCTCTGGAGCAGCCATTAAAATGTCGCCCGGAGACAGCAATAAAAGGCTCGGACGTGGGCTCTGTGTCCTGATCAAAGGCCGCGTGTAATCTAGTTAGGGCCGCGGCAGCCACAGCTGGACCCAGCCTTGTTCTCATTACCGGGGCTCCCGCTGCGGGGCTGGCCAGGCGGTTTGATCTTGGCGTCCCCCCAACACAAGAGCGTGCCTGCCTACTCACAGAGGCCGCCCATGCATCCCCAGCCTGGGCTGACAGGACCATGGTCCCAGCACATGCTGGTGCAGAGAGATGTGGCTGCAGGCCCAGGTGCTTCTATGCACAAATGTGCGGCCCATTGGCCCATCGTGTGTAACCAATGCCTTCCCTATTCTCCCTGCAGGGGGCCAAGAAGCTCTGCCCTCAGTGCAACACGATCACAGCCCCTGGAGACCTGCGGAGGATCTACTTGTGAGCTAGCTACCCCAGGCAGGACTTGCCTCGAGCAGCCCCACCTGCCCCTAGCCTCTGTGACAGTGACCCTCTCCCCTTGTACATACTTGCACACAGGTTCCCCCATGTACATACATGCACATACATGCGTGTGCACACACACACATACACACACAGGACTCTGGAGCCAGAGTAGAGGCTGAGGCCCAGGCACTACCTTCTGGCTCCCACCAAGCTTGGGGGCCATACCTGTTCCAGGGTGAGGCAGGGAGTGAGGGTGGGGGGAGTGGTGGGGCTAGGCTTCCAAGGTGCAGCCCCCAGACTGATGGACAGACATGCAAACACCAGACTGAAGCACATGTAATATAGACTGTGTATGTTTACAATGTTGTGTATAAATGGGACAACTCCCCACCCTCCACCCATGCCCTGCCCCTTTGGTTGTATAATTTTCTTCTTTTTTTAAGAACCCATGGAAGCAGTGCCCCCTTCAGGGCTGGCTGGGGGCTCGGCCCATCCACCTCCTGGGGTGCCTGCCTCTCCCTCTCCCATGGTGTCCCTTCCTCCTTCTATGTGCTCGATGTTCAGTGGTGTATATTTCTTCTCTCAGACATGGGGCACATGCCCCGAGGGACATGATCCTCTCCTTAGTCTTAGCTCATGGGGCTCTTTATAAGGAGTTGGGGGTGGGGGGCAGGAAATGGGACCGAGCTGAAGCAGAGGCTGAGGTTGGGGCGTGATGAAGGTGCCCCTGGCTGCCCAGCTTCTGCTGAGAACCTTTTCCTGGGATTAGAGCTACTGCTCCCAGGGAATCAGTGTTGTCTGCCTCGCCCCTGGCCCCTGACGTGGGCCCCATGGTGTGATACTGTGTCTGTATATTCTATACAAAGGTACTTCTCCTTTCCCTTTGTAAACTACATTTGACATGGATTAAACCAATATAAACAGCTGCTGCCTATGTGTAAATATGTGAGGGGGAGCTGACCACATGAGGGGAAGTGGACTGAAGTAGTTAAGGGGTTAATTCCTGGTGGTAATATGGGGGAAAGGGTTTAGCTATAGGTGTGTGAAGCCATGCTGGGTTGATCTGCTCAGGGGCCCTGAAGCATTGGGCTGGGCTGGGCTGGGGGTTGGGTTGGAGACCTGGCTCCTGACTATTGATGGGTAGGGGCTCTAGGTTAATTCCTTATCGATGCAGAATCGTCAGCTCATTAATCACAGAAGAGGTCAGAGCTTGGGGGTACAGAGGGGATGCAAGCTATATCCCCCAACCTAGGGCAGGAGCAGCTAAGCTTGGGTGAAAACATAAGCCTCAGGCTTCTAACCCTTTCTAGTCCCCTGAAACGTACCAGAAGTCACAATGAGATCACCATCTCAGCCTCCCTAACTTTGTTCTATTCTCAATCCTAGTGAGCAAAAGCCCAGTTGAGCTATGGCCTAGATCCTTAGAACAGAAACCCTTATTCTTCAAGAGGGACCCTCTAGTTAGGGAATGAGCTAGACTACTAGCACCAGAGAAAACACCTTGTCCAGTGGTCACTTAACTGCCAGTGAGATAGGTTAGCACCCTTGATGCTGCCCAGGCTGATAACTTGAAGCTACAGAGGAGTCCTTAGCCACAACAGAAATATGTTTGGAGAAAACGATTCAAGGCCCCAGAGTGTCTCCCTGGTACCAGGTTTCCCTTTATACATTCTCACCAGATGCATCTTCCCAGATCCCCAGCTTTAGGCACCATTTCTCTGGGATGCCCATTGTAACTACTACAGAACTGGGTTGGGGTGCCAGGTCCTCCCTCCCCTTGCACCCGAATGAAGCACAGGAGACAAGTCAACCTTGGAGCCCATCGAAGGCCCTCCCCAGCCCCATGCCCAGCTCAATGCACCAAATATCCTGACTACAGGGATCCTAGCCTCTGTAGGGGTAGGTGTAGCAGCCCCTGTGAAGACTAAGGGTTTGGGGAAGTGGGTTTGGAAGAGTGGGCAAGGAGGTGAGGGCAATGGAGATAGAGGAGGCTCCTAAATCTGGGTTCCAGTCAGGCTGACTTCTTTTATGCCTCTACTCTCCTTTCTCCCTGCCCTGGGCTCAGTGGGTCCTTGATGGCTGGTTACCCCCACCCTGGGGGCCATATGCTATCTAATAGGGGGCATTAACCTGGAGTGAGGGCATTCCACTGAAGCCCACCCTGCCCTGGGAGTCTTGAGCTGTCATGGCACAGGCAGCACTGCCACCTGTTGGCCATAGCTAGGAATGCGGCCACCCAGCTCAGAAATCAACACCACAATGGTGGGGACTCCCAGAGAGCTGATGGGATACAGAGTCCATAAACCCTGAGAATACCATGGGTCAGCTTCCACCCAGAGCTTTTCTAGCTTTCTCCTTCACTGCCTGTTGAACTTTTCAAAGCCCATCCCTGCCCTGAGTCCTTTAATCACCACCATATGGTCATTTGATCAACAAATATTTATTGATTACCTATTAAAGTGCCAAGATCATGTAGCAGTAAACTTACAGAATGAGAGATGGTACAAAACAGGAAGCTGAAACCACTGCTCCTGCCTAGAGGTATTCAAGTGGGTCTCTCCCTTAAAGGAGATGAAGGAGTTTGTTGTTTCGGCCAAAATCCCTCATCCTGGCTCTGCTCTTGAAGGCTCCAGAGTTAGCAGTTAGAGCTGCTTGCTGTCTTTCTCCTCCCCACCCCAGCTTGCAACTTGCCTGGAACCAGTGATTTACTAGCAAAGCGTGGAGCCACGCAGGCCCCTAACCTGCGCACTCAGCTCCTCATCTGGCTTCTACCTCAGATTCCCAAGCGATGAGATCAGAAAAGCCTCTCTGAGGGAGATCCATAAGGGTGCTATTTATGCCATGGGGCTTTGTCTTTCTGGAGCTGAGATCATGGTCCATGTCCCCAGCCTGGCCCTACCTCCAACCCAGAGTTACCATCTAGCACCTCCCCACAAAGCTAACCTTCCATTTGAGGAATCAAAACTCAACTCTGGCAAAGGGTATAAAGCTTCAGTCATGCAAGATAAAATTAAGTTCTAGATTATGCAAACTGATTAAATTTTAGAGATTTGTGCAACATTGTACCTATAATTAACAATAGTTGTTAACTACTAGTGTGTTGTCCATTTAAAGTTTTAGAGAGTAGATCTCAGGTTAAGTGTTCTTATCACAATTTAAAAAAAATCAACTCAGGGCAGGTGCAGTGCCTCACATCTGTAATCCTAGCACTGCGGGAGGCCAAGGTGGGTGGATTGCTTGAGTTCAGGAGTTCAGGACCAGCCTAAGCAAGAGTGAGATGCAAGCCTCTCTGAGGGAGATCTCAGAGATTTGGCCCATGTCTGCCAAAAACAGAAAAAACTAGCTAAGCATAGTGGTGTACACCTATAGTCCCAGCTACTCAGGGAGGCTAAGGCAAGAGGCTTGATAAAGCCCAATAGTTTGAGAGGTTGCTGTTATGACACAACAGCACTCTACTCAGGGCGAGAGAGTGAGACTCTGTCTCAAAAAAAAAAAAAAAAAAAACTCGGGCTTATCCTCAACTCCCCCTGCCTATTTTGTTAATCTTTTTTGTTTGTTTGTTTGTTTTGATATAAAGCCTCAAGCTATCCCCCTGGGTAGAGTGTTGTGGCATCACAGCTCACAGCAACCTCCAACTCCTGGGCTCAAGCGAGTCTCCTGCCTCAGCCTCCCAAGTAGCTGGGACCACAGGTGCCCACCACAATGCCCGGCTATTTTTTGGTTGCAGCCGTCACTGTTGTTTGGCGGGCCTGGACTGGATTCTAACCCACCAGCTCAGGTGTATGTGGCTGGCGCCTTAGCCACTTGAGCCACAGGCGCCGAGCCTATTTTGTTAATCTTTATAGCCTAAATGCCACAGGAATTAGCAGCCTGATTGTTGCCCTTGCCTAAACACAATCCAAGGCTGCCACAGAGACATGCCCAGGCACTCCTGCCCCTTAGGATCCTGGGATAAGCAGACCACCCGCAGTCCCCCAGGACAGACTCCCAGAGGTATTTTCTACTTATGGGACCACAAAGTCCCCAAGGGCCATAGGGATTTGAACCAGAAGAGGGCCCCACAGATGTAGGTTGTGGGGAGGTATTAGGCATTTATTTCTGGAACAGATGTAAAATGAAGCAAGGTCATCAGCAGTGGACACAGTTGCGCATGAAGTTGACACAGAGGCTTGTGTAGTATGTAGGGTAGTCACGGAGATGGCTGACATGTGCAGATGACACAAAGTCCACAGAGCGCACTAGGATGTGGTGTGCCAGGCGTGCCTCCACCATGCGTTCCACATCTCTGGCCAAGACTATCTCATCAGCCCTTGAGTAGAGGTAGAGCTCAGGCCAGCGAGAGCCTGCGTCCTGCAGCCTGTCATAGAAGTGGGTGTGGAAGAGGGCTGTGAGTGGAGCAAGCAGGACGTGGAATAGGACTGCCACTAGGGCAAAGGCCACCAGGAGCAACAGGCGCAGTATGGCAGGCCGGTGCTCCAGGATGGTTGCCAGGGCCCGCAGAGCCCCTACCAGGTTGCTATCACCAGGACCACTGTCAAAGATGGTGCCCACCACACGCAAGTGGCAGAAGCGCTGATGGGTCTGCAGGAGCTCCAGCACATAGCGGTACAGCATGACACCAGCATTGCTGAAGACGTGGAAAAGCAGGGGCTCCTTCTCAATCTCATAATCAAAGAGTAGCTCAAGCAGCTTCTGGGCCAAAACACGAAGTGAAGGGATGCCCAGGGACTCAGAGAAGAAGACCATGTGCCATGGGGCTGTATATCGGATCACAATGCAGCCCTAGGAGAGGGGGAGGCCTGGTCAGTCCTCATGGATGGGGTGGGAGTAAACGGTATGAGCTAAGGTCAGAGGGGCCAGCAACTCCAACTTCCACAGGGCCCATAGAGTCTAGCAATGCCCCAGTCTCTGCTTCTGTCTGGGTGCTAGCTCACTACTCATGGACACAGGTTGCCTTCGACTAACTGCTTCATGCTGGCCAAGCCCTCTCAGCCTGGTATGGTAGCTGAGACCTGGAGCCCAGACCATGTTTTAGAGAAATCTGGGCTGACCAGAAGAGTCTCCTCACCCTGGTTCCCTCTCTGTCTGCCCCCCACTCCCCACCATCCCCCAGGCCTTGCACATTTCAGGCCTCACCACTTGGCTACAGACTGCCCTGGCAACTTGCTCTGCCCTGTCCCCACCTCCCAGACGCAAGTACCCCCATCAGCCCAACACCCGAGAGAAAGCAGCAGGACCCAGCCTTGATAACCAAAGGACACTTTTGAGCCTAGGTCATATCACGCCCATCTCTGATCATTGTCACTTCCTCCCCAGGGCCCTGAGATCAGAGTTCATACTCTTTAGACTCAGGAGCTTGACACCCCAATCTGTGTGGTTCCCAAGTCTTGGATCACTCCTCACACTCGTCCTAAAATTCCAAATATAGTAAATAAATGCTGTTCTTCAAATTCTAAAATCTGGGCCCAAACTCCTTTAAGTTTTTGTATCCCTCACTGCCTAGGCCAACTGTGCCCCCAAATCTCTAGACAGGTCCCCGTGTAGGCCAGTTAGAAAAGCCACCCTGCCAGGATCCTAATTCCTTCTCATCTACCTGTTGCAGAGACTAAGGGCCCTTTTTCAGAGGAATCTGAGTTGGGGAGGCTCTGGGGTCAGACAGGTCTTGGTTCAATTCCTGGCTCCACCACCTACTTCTTTGTGGGTCTGTGTCCCCATCTCTAAATTGGGATAACACCCATCTCATAAGGTTATGGTGAAAATTAAATGAAAAATTCAATGTATTTCAAGTGACCAACACATCACCTGGGACAAAGTACACTAACGCTGAGCAGCAGTAATTAGTGGTGGCAGCAACAAGGAAAAGTATATGGGCACAGCATCTGAATGACCCAGAGCCCAACAGGGATGACCAGCTGCTCTGGACAACGACCCATATCCCAAAGACTCTTTCTGTGGATTCTGTCACACAGGGTTTTCTTGTCCATCTTTGGCCACTCTTTCTTTTCTCATAGGACCCTCTTCATCTCTCATTCTTTTGAGCTCCTCGGGGCTCTGTCCTACGCCCTCTTCTTTTCCTCTACACACCACCTAGGGAGTCTCATCCACCTCAGAGCCTACGCATTCTCTTCTAGTGTTCCTGTCCGAAAATATACACCCCTCCTCTACCCAAGAAGAACCTCAGCCAGAAACCTGTCCCTACCCTGCACCCTATCCTCAGGCTTGTATCCAATCTCTCAGTAAACCACCATTTTACCTCCTGACAAGCTTCTCGTTTCCTCCACTTGCACCCTCAGTTCTCAGGTCCTGACCACCTTTTGTCCTGGCTTGCTGCAACTCCCTCCACATTTCGCCTCTTGCTTCTAGTCACAGCACCTCCAATACTTCTCCCATGCTGTAGTGAGAGACTTTCTGACTCAAAGATCTAGTAGCATGGCCTGCTTAAATCAGGAGGTCCTTCCCAAGCCTCTCCTCTTGACACTTGCCCTTTCTTTCATTCTCTGTTCTAGCCACCCTTAACTATTCCTATTCCTCTGTCCTCGAGGATCTTAATCTAATGAGGAAGCCAGATAGACGAGCGTAGCCCAGTGAGTAGAATTTAGAAGTAGTTGAAACTACTTGCAGAAGAAGGCCATCTGTACAAAGCAACACTAGAGGACTAGAGCCTTGTTAGTTGCAGGGAGAACAATATTTGCCTCCAGTCACTGTTCCTTTCCAGGTGTCATCTACCACACACCTTGGGCAGGGTACAGATGTAGGTGGGTGGAGGGAGACTAAGGGAGTGGGGACATCAGCTGGCACTTCTCCCAGGTGCTCCCACTGCTCAGTCCAGGGCTTCCAACTGGTGGCTGGGGCTGTCTGTCCTGGTACCCCCTGCAGAAGGCTCCTCTGGGCCGAGGAGAGCAGGGCCAAGCCAGAGGCCAAAGTGTGAAAGGGGCTTCCAAAATACAACCAAAAGCTCTCTCCAATTAACCCCAGCCTCTGCATCCCACTCCTGGTGCACCTGAGGAGAAGCATGAATCTTTTCCAAGAGGCCTTACTACTCTTGGGATGTGAAAGGTGCCATGGTCAGTCCTAAGACAGAACTTCACCTGCTCAGAAAAGGAGACAGTCCTAGTAGTACAAATTGCCCAGCACACCCAGTCCAGGCTCCAGCCAGTCAGAGAAGCATTATCCAGCCAGCAGGGACTTGAGGCCTGGGCTGATGCCACAACTAGGGGACACATTAAGGCTGGGCTGTCCACTTTGGGGTTCAGAGAACAAGAAAGGGGAAGTAGGTCAGGAGACTGAAGAGGCCTGACCAGGCCATGACCCCATCATCTCCCTCACAGGTCATTTTTAATGCCATTCCTTGGCCTGCCACATAGGTGATCGGCCTTCACTGCAGCCAAGAGGTGAGAGCAGTCAGAGAGAGGCTCAGAGTTCCCCACAGAGCAGCGCGGCAGGTGCCAGGGCCCCGGCAGGGCTGGTGCCCACGTGCCTGCAGTACTCACCCTTTTATGGTAGATGGCGCTGTACTTGGCAAGGTTCTTGTCCCTGCAGCCACCCCAGCCCAAGAGAATCACCACAGGCTGTCGAGTCCCCGCCTCCTTCCTACATTGGCTGGGGCTGTTCTCTGAAACACAGACACAGCAGGGTTTGTGTGAGCTAGGTTGACTGGCCAATCCAGAGCTCTGCTCTGGCTGCAGGCAGAGAAGCAACCGGTGTCAGGCCCGGGCATCCTGCAGCCCCTGTGCCCCGGCTCCCTTGGGACTCCTTCCCATCCTTCTGCCCCACGTGCTATGGGGTCACTGGACAAGCCCATACTAGGGCACCTTTCTTTAGTGATTCAAAGACAGCCCAGGCAGAAAACCAAACACCTTATCGATGGCATTACACCTTCAAACCCAGGGGTTGGCAAACTCTAAACCCAGGGCCAAATCAGGCCCACTGTGTTTTTCTGTATGTCCTGAAAGCTAAAATGGTTTTTAGATTTTTAAATGGTTAATAAAAGTCAAAAGAATGATATTTTGTGACACATTAAAAGTATGTGAAATTTAAATTCCAGTGTCTGTGAATAAAGTTTTATTGGAACACAGCCAAACTCATCCATTTACTTAGCGTCAATGGCTACTTTTACACTGAAATGCTAGAGTTGAGTAGTTACAAGACCATATGGTTCACGAAGCCTAAAATATTTACCAGCCCTTTATAGAAAAACTATAAAAACCAGCTCCTGTCCTAATTCCAGGAGCAGATGGAAGAAGAGGGTCTGAAATAGAGAAATGGATAAGATGGTGTGGAAGCAGGGGAGTGAGGCAGACTGACTCTGGCCCATATCAAACCACCCACCCTGTCCTGCCAGAGAATAACAGCAACAGCCTATATTTATTGAGATTTAACCTTCATAACAATATTGTAAGGCAGGTATACTCTTATGACAAAGGAGGATGAGGCAAAACGAGGTTAAGTTACTTGCCTAAGGTCACAAAGTTAAGAAGCAGATCTGGGAATCTGGCCCCTACTCCCCACCTTAGGTGCTTGGGCACCTTCTGTGCAGCAGCTCCGTCCACAGCTAGAAGCATGTCTCCTCTGTGATATGCTGGGGGGCACAGCCAGCTGCCACCACCGTGGCTGCTTCTGAAGAGGTCTCCCCACAACCTTATCAAACAGACCTCACCTCATTTCCCCTGAAAAGTGAATGCCCAGCCCCTGAGAGGTGCTTCTGTACAAAGTCTGTCTATAGCTAGTTATCTGTCCTCCCAAAAGGGCTAGCGTGTACTTTTCCAAGGACCAAGCCACTTGGCTATGCTCAGCTGCCACCCTGAAATTTATGGATACTGGTGGTGACCTGGCAACAGTAAATTTCAAGGCTACTTAAAAGGATGGTAAATATAAATCACTAACCTTTGGACAAAAGGAAGACAACAATTTCCTGTGGAAATTAATGTGATTGAAAAGTTCAATGTTCCTGCTCTTTGGTATTGGTGACTCTGGCCTTCAGAGATTAACTGCCCACATCTACAGGGATCCCAGGCTAGGTTGCAATTCAGCCTGGAGCAGAAACTGCCAGTGCCTCAGTTCCTTGCTCACACATCTACCAGCTTTCCCACCCTCCAATGATGCTGGCCTTGCTTCTGATGAAGAAGACAGTCCCATAGTTCTAACTGCTGTTCCAAATACTCCCACGACTTTCCTCAGCTTAATGTCCTCATCTCCCCCAGGGTAACCCTTTACCTCCACTCCAGCCTGGATCGCAGAGTGAGATCCTGTTTCTAAAATTTACTGATAAATAAATGAATAAATCTAAGCCTGGCATGGAGGCAGGATTGGGTCTCAGCCCTTTCCAGTAGAAAGGCCACACCTGGGCCTCAGTGGGCCTCAGCCTGAACTTGCTGGGGATAACGCTACCCCTGAGGCTCGGGCTGAGGCAACCTCACGGATAAAACCTGCCTTTGCATCTCCAAGGTCAAGTAGCCAGATTCCTGAGACCCTGCCCCAGGGAGGCTCCCTTACTTCTGTACAGCTATCTTGAGAATAGGCTTGCCTACCCCTGCCTATAGAGTTTTCCCCACATGCCATCATCAAAGGACTCCCACAAAGGGCTCTGGGATGTATCTCAAATACACAGAAGGTGACCAAGGACAGTCTCATCTTCTGGTGGCCACTGGATGTCAAGGCCAGCCCCCACTGGCAGAAATGGTGCATTCCCAGTCATAGAAGGTTCAAACAGCTTGTGCTGGGCCTCTGAACTGCACCTCCTCCCGGGACTGAGATTCATAACTCCATTCTGCAGCTGCTCCTAGCTTCACCTACTCAGGCAGGAATGACTCTTCAACAGATATGCTTCTCCCTTAGTTTCCATGAAGAAACTCCGAATAATGGCACCGTGGACACACTGCCTAATCCCAGAGCCCAAGCTTTGTGTAACATTCTGGTCTCTCTGCTCTCCAGCCAGACACTTGAGGCTGCCCCCTAAGCCACGAGGTACTCTTACTACCCATGGGCATCCCTCCATGTCCCTTACAAATTCTCCTCCCAGTACCCTCTCTCCATGTCCATCCTAACTCAGAGAGTTTGTCATGACCTTCTCTAGACTGAAGCCATGATCAACATCAAGTGCCATAGTTCTGGAAAATCCAAGGTGCTCTGGGAACATGGCTGAGAGAGCAATAATGACTGGAAAATGTCTCCCAAAGGAAGACACATTCACTATCGTGGCCTTGAAGGACCAATAGGAATATGTCAGGGGCACAGTGTATGGAGATGTCACAGTTGGCCTGGGGCACAGCAAGAAGTCCTGGGGGGCTAGAACCCAATGAGGGAGGAGCAGTGGTCAGAAGAGTAGGCTGAACCCTGATCCAGAAAAACTTCCATGCCATGCTTAGATTTTTATTCATTTTATTCATTATTTATCAATATTTTTAGAAACAGGGTCTCAATCTGCCACCCACGCCAGAGTTCAGTGGTACAATCATAGCTCACAGCAGCCTCAAACTCCTGGGCTCAAGCGATCCTGAGGTAGTCCTCAGCCTCCCGAATAGGTGGGACTATAAGCACCCACTACCATGCCCTGATAAATTTTTTTAATATTTTTGCAAAGACAGAGACTTGCTATGTTATGTTACCTAGGCTGGTCTTGAACTCCTGGCATCAAGCAATCCGCCTGCTTCAGCTTCTCAAAGTGCTGGGATTATAGGTGTGAGTCATTGTGCCCAGTCTAGGAGTTAGGATTTATTCGATAGCAGTGAAGACACTGAAATGGGGGAGTGGCACGATTCAATCTGTACTGAACAATGACTTACAAAATAATTTGTTTAATGTCTGTTTCTTTTCCCTTAACCAGCAGGTTCCATGAAGGTAGGAAACTGGTCTGTATGTTTATCGCCACATCCCCAGTGGCCAGCACTGTAGCTGGCCTATTCAGTACTCAGTAGCTATGTGCTGAATGAATGAACACACAGTTGCAAAGCAAAGGATAGATCTAAGGAGAAAGAGCTGGCATTCCTCTTGTTTCCCGTTGTCCTTTCCAGGGTAGTAAAAGCAACTGCTCTGGCTACTGTTATTTATTCCCACATCTGGATCATGATGTACTCTAAGGTGCAAACCCTTGCTCCTTTCCACTGGCCCTATCTCCCTCTCCCCTGTTGCTGCTGACATTGCCCAGCCTCTGGCAGTTGTCCTTGAGGCACTGAAAACTTTGGCCACTAGTTCAGTCTCCCACTCTATTCCAAGACTTAAGAGAACTCTGCACAGGCAATCAGATACACTGTATTTCTAAACCATCACAAACCTTTCTCAGAGAACGCATATAGCATCTTGCATCAGACACTTTCTTTCTTTCTTTCTTTCTTTCTTTTTTTTTTTTTGAGACAGAGCCTCAAGCTATCCCCCTGGGTAGAGTGCCGTGGATTCATAGCTCACAGCAACCTCCAACTCCTGGGCTCAAGCAAGTCTCCTGCCTCAGCCTCCCAAGTAGCTGGGACCACAGGCGCCCGCCACAACGCCCGGCCATTTTTTGGTTGCAGCCATCATTGTTGTTTGGCAGGTCTGGGCTGTGAATTCGAACCCACCACCTTAGGTGTATGTGGCTGGTGCCTTAGCCACTTGAGCCACAGGCGCCGAGCCGCATCATGCACTTTCTAAGCAACTTATTTAATCTTCCTAAAACACTTATGAGCAAGAAACTGTTCCTATTCTCATTTTATAGATGAAAAACTGAGGCACAGAGATAATAAATAACTTGCTCAAAGTTACACAACTAATAAGTAGTGAAAATGAAATAAAAACCCAAGTGTTCTGACTCTGAAGACCAGCTTGGATCTAATACTCTAAGCCAACCTCTGGATCACAAAGCCCAAGCCAAATCTCCATCACCTTAGCTCCAAACCTGTACACACAGCTGCCTCCTGTACATCAGCAAACTCAACACTGACCCTATCCACCTGCTCTTTCTCAGGCACTAGCCAGACCCCAGCATATTGATGCCTCATTTGGTCCTGCAACCATCCTAGGAGTTAGCTACTATTACCACCCCTCTAGTTTTCTTATTTTACCTCCTTCATGCCCTCTCAAACCTCTTCTTGCCACTCCTACCACAAATCATCAGACTAGTGTCCCTCCTCTTTACTGTCCCTCACCAATCACCACCACACTGCTATGCTTAACACGCTGTATCAACAGCATTCATTAGGAACACACAGGAGACTATGGTAACATTCACTGAACCAGAGCTGTGGACAGACAGGTAGGAAGGGGAAGAATGACAGAGAAGACAGAACAACAAGAATTTTGGAACAGGCCAGGCATGGGGCTCACACCTATAATCCTAGAACTCTAGGAGGCTGAGGCCAGTGGATTGCTGGAGTTTAGGAGTTCAAGACTAGCCTGAGCAAGAGTGAGACCCTTGTCTCTACTAAAAATAGAAAAACTAGCCTGCATTGTGGCAGGCACCTATAGTCCCAGCTACTCAGGAGGCTGAGGCAAAAGGACTGCTCAAGCCCAAGAGTTTGAGGTTTATGTAAGCCATGACACCATGACACCCTATGCAGGGTGATGGAGTGAGACTCTGTCTAAAAAAAATAGAATTGTGGAACCTATGTCAAAAGTTTCATAAAACATGCAACCTTTGGCTCA